TGTATGTATGATGAGCCTCCCAAATACGCAGGGTAATCATCCATAATAGAGCAATTACCCAAATAAGTTAATTCAAATTCTAGGTAATGTATGTATGATGAGACTTCCTAAAAACAATCATTGTGCTGATTTTAAAGAAATAATTGAGAACCACAATACTAAAAAAAAAAAAAAAAAAATTGTCAAAGAATCTCAAATATTAGTAATAAAATATTACAGTTTATATCATCAAAAGGTTATATGAAATGAGGAAGAAACAAATGTCCAATGACATTCTAATAATGAAAAAAATTTTCACCAGAACAAAATTTAAAGAGAAATTTTGTAATAATCATGAATAAATCTACCTACCATACAAATTATACTGTTCTGCTTCAAGGACTCTCAAACTTCAGCATGCATCAGCAACACTGGAGGATTTATTCAAATACAAGTACTGAACCTGACCCTCAGAGTTTCAGAAACTCTAATTCCAGAGAGTCTGAGGTAGGAGCCTAAGAAACTGCATTTTGAACTAGTGTCCAGGAAAGGCTGATACTGCTGGTCTCGGAGCCACACTTTGAGAATCATTGCTCTAGTTCATTCATTCATTCTTCTGACAAATTTGAGTGCCCTCTATTTATTGGGCAATACGTTAGGTGTTGGGGATAGAATAAGTAGATGTTTTCTCCTTTCATGGTACTTAATTTTGGTAGGAAAACAACAGATATGTAAATGAATAAAGTAAACTGCAAGCCACAGTTAAGCAAAATTCAATGACAATAATGTTGACAGGCACACTAACAAAATCTCAAAGGCCACATCAAACCTCTTTCATGAACTGCATTTTATATAATGCTAAAAATGCTTACATAAACATGAATTATTTTTGTATCTAAGTAACATACTACTAGAATCTATATGTAGGAAAAATTACTGGAAGGAAACAACAAATGTTAATCACATTTCTGTGAAGTATGGGCATTAATCCATCTGCACTTCCTATATTCCCAAATACTGCAAAATGTGCTAACTTTTAACTTTTTCTGATCATAAAAGCATCTTAAAAATCAGCTTCTTGAGTTATTTTTAATGCTGTCTCAAAAACATAATTTCAGTTGCATTGTTCTTCCTAATCACTGAAATTATCTCCATCTGAACATTATGAAAGGGAAGAAACCAGATTATAGTCTAAATATCATGCTACTACAAACAGTAACTATCAAAATGATAGAAGTATCACAAGTATGAAATTTTGATAGAACCATTTTGCAATAATTTCTCATTTTGAGTTCTTCCTTTATCGATTCTTAAAGTATGTTCCTGTAAGTTGAGTGAATAACAGTGCTTTCATGTAGTATTGTAATCTCCTCTCCACTTAATAAAACGACAATCTCTTCAACCCAGTTAATAAAGCTGTTGCATGAAAATGTATACAAATATATTACCTTAACTTTCACCAGCCTTTTCACAGTTTTAATCTTTGCCTCACAGAAGGCACCTCGGTACTTGGCACTGACATCAGTTCCCACCGTCAGATAGGCCGGCTCATCTGCCGCCTGGTGAAGGAACAGAAAGTGAATGTCACTACTGCTTTTCCCTACCCCAACCTCAAATAGCATTGAATTTTGTTTTTCAAGTAATTAGAACATTGAGATTATTTGCCTATTAATTACACTGACAATACCCCTAAAGGAAACCCTTTATTAACAACACTTCATTTTATATAGTGATTTCATGATGCCATGTTTTAAAGTTATAACTGGAAATTATCAGCAAGGAAATGCAATAATTTTTTCAGATATAAATTTTTAGAAAATTCTATAATTTATAAAACAAATGAAAACATAAGAAAACAGTGAAATTATATTAATGAATGTTTTTGGCCTTTAATATGAATATCTTAACATAAATAGTTCCAGCCTCCTAAGAATTCTCATATTAAAAGAAATATGGCTATTAAAGTTAACAAAAACAATACATAATTCAGTGTTCAGTGATACAGTTTTATAAAGGCAACATCTTTTTGGATACAGTATATCTGTACAGGTAAGAAGTCACGTGAATCCTTTTGGAAAATTCGTTGGCTAAAGGCTGCATTTTGAAAGGTCTTAGTCTAAATTCAGCTGATGAATGCAGCTATGACTGATGGCTCAGGACTGTGTAGTCATACCTAGTTTGCAAGAATCTTCTTGGTATATATTAAAAAGCAAATCCTTTACTAAGAAATGTCTACTAGCAAATGGCCACAATCACAACGATACATTAAAAGATATGAGAAATTTCAATCTACTATTCATCTTAATCTTGACAGAAGTAGGATGATTGCTATCTCTGCCTGACATTTTACCAATTTTTTTCAAAAATCATGTGTATTCATATAAATTCAATTCACCACTACTAAGTGCAAAGGTAAGTGAACACTTTAGCTGTATGCTTTTAAACAGAAAACAATTTTTCATTTTTCATTAAGTTTTCCCAATATTAAAGGTTACCTCTATCACTTCATGAAAATAGGAAGCAACAGAAAGTTTTAAGAAAATGCTGTATTTCGATTAATACACTGAACAGTAAATAAGACATGAATCCAGTACGTCTAAATATCAGTGCAGTTACAAAACCGCAAATTGAAGAGAAATACTATTGGGAAATTATCTGACCAGAAGTAGTCAACGGCCATGGCATTCTGAAGAATGCTATGAAAACTTCCTTTCCTTTCAATCATCCACATATGATATTTCCAAGATTCGGCATCTCCAGAAGAACACATAGGTACATGTATTCAGAGGGACTTAGGTTTTAAAATATTTTCTCTAAACACTGACCTAAAACGAAGTATTAGTTTATCCAACCTAAAATATTATAGCCACAGAAGTACTTTATCTCCAAAAGAAATGCTATCTCTTTTATTCAATCCACCTATTCTTTCTCTTAGAGTATCACAGTGGCAGTAGGAAAGAAACAAAACAAAACAAAACAAAAAAACTCCCAAAGAACCAAGGCAGGACAAAAGCTTTACTTCTGCAAAGATTGCTGCCAACACAGGAAGTGTTTTAAAATACTAGCCCAATGGACAATTGAAAGGCTGCACCAGCCTTTCCAAAGTGCTAACTGCCACAGAGAGGGCTGATAGCCACACATACTTCTCACCCATCCACACGTTCTCATTTTCCAAAGTGCTGCTTAGCAGAGAGATCAATGTGGAGTAACCAAAAAAAAAATAAAAAAAAAAAAGACATTCCACGACAGCAGCCTCGCAACTGGCAGCTTCCAGGGCACGAGGTTCAGAAGAGTTGACTCCACTTACCTTCATTTTTACTGGAGATCTGTGGGGTTCCAGCTCAACGAGTTATCTTCGCCGTCGCTAGAACCATGGGGAGAGGAAAGACAGGCACAGAATCAGTCAACAGCGGGGAGCGACCCAGGGAAAAAAAAGTAAACAAACGCCGGCGGGGAGGGGCAGGACCCTCAGCAGCCAGGGCGCAAACCCCTCGGAGCGCAGCGGGAACGCAGGAGGCAGGGGGCAGCGAGGGCTCCGCGGGCGCGGAGAGCAGCCCGTTCCGCCCCGGAGCTGGCCAGCGGCCCACCGCGCCCCCGCCCCGCGGGCCACTCTGACCCGGAATGCTCACCTCGGCGCCCCAGGTCCGATCGCCCCGGAAAAGGGCAGGCCACCGTCTGGGCTTCACCGGTCCCCTACAGGGCCGGTGGCCAAGCCCTCATTCGGCCACCCTCGGGATACCCCGACTTGGGCTCGCGCCCCGCCTCCGTCGCTCGGCCCCCTTGGCCCGCCCCGGCCCGCGGTGGCGGCAGCGGAGTGTCACGGCGCCATTGCTCTCCTTCCTTCGCTCTGCACCATGTCAGGAAGGAGAAGCGCCCCTTCACCCGAAGGGGCAGGGGCGGCGGCCTGCAGCCGGGAGCCACGAGCGCTAGAAGACCCCGCGCGGGGGAGGGGGCGGGGGGCGGGAAGGAGGAGGGGAGGTGGCCCGGACAGGGTGTGGGAGGGGAGGGGAGCCGCACAGCGGCAGCCACCGCCTCCTCCCGCGCCCGCCTCAACTTTTTGTACAGCCCGGAGAGGTACCAGCCCCAAGCCCCCGGAGTCCTGCCACCGACTCCACCCGGGAGGACGCGCCGCGGAGTTGGGGGCCGGCTCCCCCAAGCAGCCCGCTCCTGGCCGCACGGAAGCAAACTTAGCGGCGCGGCCAGCCCCACAGCCATTTTCCCGGGGAACCCGGGGAAGCGGCCGAGGAGGCGACTCGGCGGCGGTTCCCGCAGTTACTGCCGCTGATCCCTGATTTGTCCCTTCCCCCGAGCTCGCTGCACCGCTAGCGTAGGATCCCCCTCCCCACCTCCAAAGATCCCAACTGCACCGGGACCCCGGTCAGCAGCACCAGCTGCTACTGCCGCTTCGTCCATTCAGTATCCCCGCTCCCCTTCTCCCCACCTACCTACTGCGGGTGAAGTGCGAGCTGTCAGCTCTCGAGTCCTCCGCCCCACTGACCGCCGTGGGCCCCCGTCCGGGCAGCACCACTCCTGGCCGCGGCGGCAGTTCCTGCGCCGGGTTCCCCACTCGTCCCGATTTACTGCCACAATCCACCAAATAACAAGCTGTTGAGCAGACTCGCTTCTACACGAACTCCTATTGGCTGCCCATGACGCCGAAGAGCTTCGGATTGGAGCTCGCTACCTGCCGTTCTCATTGGATGTAGCTCTGAAACTTCACGGATTGGTAAGAAAAACAGCAGGTAGGACATCTGCCACTTGTGATTGGCTGTCTCCGAAGAGCAACGTTATTGGAGAATCAGGGATTGAGTAAGCAAATCCTGGAAAGTGATTGGTAAAAACAACTCCGGATGTGCTTGACTGAACACCGATTGGAGAATTGAGGGGTCAGGAAGAGCAATTCGGCACGACGATTGGCGGTGGAGTGTCCCATGGAAACGGAACCCAGAACTGCAGCCAGGGGCTTGCACGGGGGCGGGGCAGGGTCTTCCCAAGGCGCCTGCGCTAAACCGGCTTCTCGGCGCCATTTTGTCCCGGCAGCAGTGGCCGCAGCTCTACCGCATTTTATGTTTGTAGAGTGAAGGGAGCGGAGTGCTTATCCAGTAGATGTATTTTAGAGCGGCACCCATCCACTGTTCGCCCCAGGACAGCATCTAGTGAAGGTCGGAGGGATCGCAGAGCTGTCAAGAAGGTCAGTTGAAGGCTATGGTTGTCCCATCGACTAGGGGATGGCGCAGCTCTAGCGGCAGCGGCACCGGAAATGAAGGACCCCGAGGCAGCCATGGGAAGAGTAAATTCTTCGGGCGGCGGGGTGGGGATTGGGGGCGGGATGAAAGGGGGAGAGGCTTCCTGTCCCGCCGAGAGTGAAAGGCCCAGGACACACATGTTCTCTGAGTCGGTCCTTCAGTGCCGTTTTCCTGGGTCTGCCCTTTTTGGAACAGCCGTCCCTTTGGAAGTGCGTTTAAGGGAGGGGCTGAGGGGGCAGCCGTGAAGACGGGGAAGGAGGGTCCCCAAGCCAGCATCCCCGCGGCGGCGGCGCTCGCGAGAAGCCCCGGGGCGCTGGGGACGGTGCCGCGGAGTCTCCACCTGCACCGGGCTTGGGGCCATTCCCCAAAGAAACGGCGGGGCGGTGAGCTGAAAGCAGCCACGCGAGGACCTTGTTCTTTTAGCCAGACCTTGTCTGCTACACCAGACAAAAACTTGCCATTGTAAATGGCGCAGTTGGACTCTTAATGGACGAGGTGTTGTAAAGAATGAACTCACTGTGCTGTGGCTCCGGTGGCCGAGCGCCTGCCCTGAGTTCAAACCTTAGAGCCTCCGAAAAGGTTGAAGGTGGGAAATGATGTTGACAGTCCGCACGCTGAGGATGCTCAGCCTGATCAGTTTTTATTTGTAACTGATTTTTCTCAAACTTACTCATTAAGGAAGTGTATGTCGGTATTTTTTTTTGAGAGACCTGGTCACTCTTAACCTGGATAGATGTTTGTAATTATCTTCCGTACCGCTTTTAAATCCGATCGCTGCCTTTGGTGAGGCTCGACTAGAAAATGATTGAGTGACTTAAGGAGTTATTGTTTCGTTTATTGTTCTGTTTGTTGGCAGTTCTGCTGAAAATAACAGGACATCTCAGTGACATATATCCCAAGGTATTACAGAGGTGAGTCCTGATCTGTACTAAAATCCTTACAATGCTGAGACTACCAGGAAAAGCTTTCTGTGGATTGGTAAATAAATACTAGAATGGTAGTCGAAAGGTGTTTTGTTTGATCACAGTTTCATCCTCAGTTTAATTAGCCTCCTGATATGTCTTAGAATGAAGTCCACTAATTAAGATATCTTTGTAGATTTACCTATTAATGTGGTTAACGGAATTTTTAAGCATTTAACTTTTTTTAAACGTGAAACACTATTTTCATGATTTGTCGCTCCTATAAAAAAATTCTCATAAAGAAGGGTCTCATCAGTAAAAGTGCTTAGGAATAAAGTATTTTTATAAGGAAATTATAATACAGTATAATACTAAATTTTCCAGGGGGTAATCACCCATAATTCCACTATCCAACTAGTCGACATATGCATGGTGTGTCAGTAGGCATTTGGAAATTACCAAAAAAAAACCCAAAGAAAAAAAAATAAAAACCTCTTGTATTCCCTCCATCAAAAAATAATTGTAGGGCTCAAACACCCCCCACCCCAAGTATTGCCAAAAAGTAATTGCAGTTTATGCTGTGTTTGTATTTTATACCAAGAGCTTTTTGTTGATGGTATTGTTTTAAAAAATATGGTTGTGCTCATTTTCTTACCTTGTTTTCTTATGGAAAACTTTGGGAACATCAGAAATACTTTGTACATAAAGCATTTTTCATGGCTTTCATCGCTGCATAGTTTTATATAGGATACGTTGTACCACACTTTTTTGTGTATGTGTTTGATGCTGGGAATCATATCAACAGCTTTGTGCACACTAGGCCAGTGCTCTACCACTGAGTGACGTCTCCAGCCTGCCTTACCACAGTTCATAAGACCTGTTCTATTTGGTTTTCTATAATAGTAATAATATGCCAGTGAATATCCTTGTACATGTTTTGCAAAATATTGTTGCAAAGAGCTATTATCAATGGCTAAATTTTCTGGGCATCTAAATCGTCTTTCATATCCCTAATCATTTTTGTGGACTAAATTCCCAGAAGTAGAACTATAAGGCCTAAGGAATTGTACGCTTAGAGTTGGCCCAGCACTCAGCAGGCTGAGGCAGCAGGACCACAAGTTCAAGGCTAGCATGAGTTGAATAGTGAGACCCTGTCTCCAGAAACACAAACAGAAAGTTTGAATGCATGTACAGTTGTCCATTAGAAATCTTTGTCCCTTCATTTGTATTTTTATTGTTTTTATTACTTATTTTCCAGTGTTCTCTCTCTCTCTCTCTCTCTCTCTCTCTCTCTCTTTTGTGGAGCTGAGGTTTGAACTCAGACTTTATGCTTGCAAAACAAGCATTCTACCACTTGAGCCATACCATCCATACCTGTCCATTTTGCCCTGGTTATTTTGGGGATGGAGTCTTGAGAATTATTTGCCTGGGCTGGCCTTGAACCACTATCCTCCTGATCTCAACCTCCCAAGTAGCTAGGATTACATGTGGGAGCCACTGGCACCCAGCTCTTTAGCTTTATTTTTGAATTCCATGGGATGGCTTTATTCAGTTAACTTTATTACTTTTTTTTTGAGACAGGATTTCACAGTGCTGCCCAGGTTGGCTGGGAATGCCTGAAGTGTGACTTCTATTTCCTTCAGATAGTTGAACATTAGTACAATTGCAACATTTTGCCACACAGACAATGACATTTAGGTGATACTAAGAACAAACTGTTTATGCTATAATTAGCTAAGTGTCACTGCTTTGTGTTTCCTTGGAGCCTGCTTTAAGGTTTCCTATTTTGGTTTTTGGGGTTTTTTCGTTGGTTTTGTTTGGTTTTTGTTGTATTTGGGTTTGAACTGAGGAGTTTCCCATGTTTATGTGCATTCTCTCGGCACTTTTGTAGTCCTGTAGGACTCTCACATGCCTCCCACCCCACTTTCTTTGCAATGATTTAGCTGTTCCCTAGTTTGAGGCTCTGTTCCCAGAAGGTAGCAACTGTTTTTAATCACTATTACGTTCTCCTGCCTTATCACACGGTAAGTGCTCTGTAAATACCTCTTACGAATCGTACATTAGTGTATAAAATATATGGAATAATAAACTAATGGATATTATTAATAGTAATTCTCTTCTGAAAGTTAATGATGTTCTGTAGGTGCTATCTTAACCTTTAAATTTTTAATATTCTAAAAACTTAATACTAAGTTAGTTTGTAATTGTTAATAAAGTACAGATCGAAAAGAACCCATTAAGAATGTATCAGCATACTTCCCCCAAGACTTTTGTTCCTTAATCCTTTGATAAGGATTTTAAATCTTACTGGAAGCTACTTCAAATGACTGAACTAGACAGTTACTCTGGACCATCTTAGATACAAATGAAAGAAAATAATAGAATTGCACTTTTCTAACCTATTTTGGTGACCCTAATATGAGTGATATATCTTATAAAGTCAAACATGTTCAATTTGAACAATGTTTCTGCGATATAATTGAGAAAGAATTATCTGTTCACAGGTTCAAATGAGGATGTATAATTAGCTGCTCTGTGCGATATGTTTTACTGAAATCTCAGAATCAGGACTTTCTTACAGACTTGTTTGCCCGTTACTGTGGTTCCTATCTCTGAATTCTTGTTTCATGTTTTGGTTTGGGGAGGGAGGTGGGTATTTGTTCCCCAAGTTAGCCTAGTGCTCCTGAGCTCAAGGGATCCTCCACCTCAGCCTCACAAATAGCTGGGACTATTATTTTTTTTTTCTACTCATAAAAACTTGACATAAAGATATCTTAAAATGAGAATGTTTAGGAACAAAATAAATTTCTTGTTAGTGTCTTCTGTTAAATTCAATAATTTCATTTAAAGCATAATACTTAGTATGAGCCCATTAAAATTTCTGTGTGTCAGTGATGCTGTATAATAGTGGTCCAGAATGATATTCACTATATGTTAAAGATGTTATTTTATTATTTTTATTTATTTATTTATTTATGTAGCGAAACTGGTTCCAAAAAAAGTCTATTAGGGAAGGAATACACTTTCAAGAGACTGAAAGCAGGTCATCTAAGAAAGAAAGAAAGACCAAGAATGACAAATTTTTTTTAATGATAGTCTGTGTTCTGAATGTTTAAGTTATAATGTACTCAAAATTAACATAAATCTTTGTCTTTCAGAAAAAGATTAATTTTGTGGGTGAATGAAGAAGGTGTTCAAATCTTGAAAAGGCTTGGATATTCTGTACTGAAAATTCTGTTTCTGGTATGTAATTTTACTTTATACTTAAATCATCAAGATTGGCCATGTTATTTGTGTGTGTGTGTATCTTTTGAAAAATAACAAAAGTTACTCAACTGTGCATTTATCTCTGGAAGTGTAAGTATCTGTTGAGAAGTGTAACTAATTGTAATCAAAGCACTCTTTGAAGAAATATCTACATAATCTCTTACCCTGATTGATTTCAATATTGAATTTGTAGCCATGTGAAGTCAATACATAATGGTTTTTGTTCACATGTAATTTAAACTAAAATGACAGCATATTTTAGGATTTGGATTCAAGCAGATCTGGGTTATCTAATGGCTTTCCTTCAAAGATCTGTGCTCAAGAAGCTTACTGTCAGTAAAAGAGCATATTTGAACATGTGGAAAGTTAATGAAACCGTTACTTCAAAAGATTTAGGCAATTTAGTTTACTTTTCAAAAATTTTTAATTTTTATTATGTACTGGAGGTACATTGTGACATTTACAAAAGTGCTTACAATATATCTTAGTCAAATTTACCCCCTCCGTTCTCCTTTATACCCCCTCCCACACTCAGAATAGTTTCAACAAGTCTCATTTTTCCATTTTTTTACATGAATACCATATTCACCCTCTAACTTTAAAGATTTAAATAGCGGTCCTTGGTAGTGATGGATTAATGTTCCATATACAATCACAGCTAGAGATTTTTAAAGAAACGTACTGCTAGTCTCGTAAAAACAGCAAAAATAAAACAAATTTATCTAATGGTCATTTGAAAAAAATTTAAGAATAATGAAATACTTGTAAAATTAGAAAAGAAAGCCTTCTAATTCTATGGAAAGTTAAAAGCAAAAAAAATACGATTATATAAGGAAAACTTAGCCAGCACCAGTAGCTCATATCTATAATCCTAGCTACTTGGGAGCCTGAGATTGGGAGGATCGTGTTCAAGGTCAGCCCAGAAAATAGTTCTCAAGACAGCCCCCCGCCCAGTCTCCAAAATAACCAGAGCAAAATGGATTGGAGGTGTGGCTCAAGCCTGCCACTTGCTTTGCATGTCTGGTGCCCTGAGTTCAAACCTCAATCCCACAAGAAAATAAATAATAATATACGTGTGTGTGTGTGTGTGTGTGTGTGTGTGTGTGTGTATATGTATGTGTATATATATACATATTTAAATATATATACATACATATATTTATATATTCACGTGTGTGCGTGTATACATAATGTAGGATTATAAACTATGTTTTGGACAGTTAGCAAACCAGTTAGGAAAGGATGACTGGCTAAATATTAAATTAGCAAAATTGGGGGACCAATCTTGTCAATGTTTCTAGAATTAGCTGCACATCAGAATCCTATGGGGTAGTCTCCCTCTATCCAGGTTTCTAGAGGGCCTTGAAAATGGGTATGAGTAGAAAGTAAACATTATTTGTTTTGTTTTCTTTTCAAATTTTATAAATCATGTCTTTAAGTTTTTTTGTTTGCTTGTTTTGGTTTGGATGGTGCTGGGTTTTGAACTTCGGGCCTCACGGTTGCTAGGCAGGTGCTCTACCACTTGCATCAAGCTATTTTATTTTTAACTTAGTTTTTCTGTTCCCAACTATTTAGCTTTCTAGTTTATTGGTATTTTAGTGCTGCAATTATGTATTTGCATATAGCATTTTCCATCCTTTGGACTGTTCTTTTAGGTTTGATTTAAAGGGTCATTATATGAATTTTTTTATTTCTCTTGAAACTTTTTTGTTTTCGAGATTATAATTGATACTGTTACACTCCTGTTGAATTTAGTTACTGTCTTTGGGTAGTATATAATTATAATTTTTGCTCAAAGTATGTTGATCTATTTTTTCTTTGTAAGATTTCTGTTGTTAACTAGTGAGTTAGTTATAATTTCACTTTCTCCCATCCAAGTACCAACCAGGACTGACCCTGCTTAGTTTCCAAGAGAAGACAAGATCAGGTGTGTTCAGGGTGGTATGGCCATAGACAAAATTTCACTTTCTGATTGTAGTATGTTACTTACTGATTCTTTTACAAGATGTCTAGTCAAGCTTTCTAATTATGTATTAGACTTGCTGTACATATTTTTTTAATATAGATTTCCCTTTTAATTTTACTTTTATTTTTTTGGTGGTACTGGAGTTTGAACTCAGGGCCTCATGCTTGCTAGGCAGGTGCCCTACCACTTGAGCCACTCCACCAGCCCTCTTGTTTTTGAGATGGTCTTGCAACTTAGAACTTTAAATGTCCACTCAGCATCTCTTTCTCTATGGTAAATTATTTTACTAAAAGGTCCACTGATTTGTTGGGGGAAGGGAGTTGTTATTTGTTTTGGGTTTTTCTTGTACTAGGGTTTGAACTCAGTCTCACACTTAATAGAACATAGAGAAGTAACATCTATTCACAGATCGCGAATGTTTAACCAGGATTCTTTTAATAGCTCAAATCTAAGTAAAGATATAAATTATCCTTTTAACATAAAATTTAAATGTCAGTTACAAGTACTTTAATAATGTGGAATAGCTGTGTGTGTGTTTTGCTGGGGATTAAACCCAGGGCATGTAGCAAACACCCACCCTTGAGCTATGCCCCAGACCCTTTTTTGTTGTTATTTTGTGTTTGAGACAGGGTTTTGCTGCTACCTTTGCCAAGACTGGCTTTGAAGCCAGGATCCTTCTGCCTCTGCCTTTGGATTACGGGCATTCGCTAACATGCCCAGCTGAGCACAGGCCAATTTTTGAGTGTTCTTCCCAGAGAAGAACTTGATTTCATCAGTTAACTTTCTGTAGTTCTCCCACCACCACTGTCCCCTCCACCCCACCTTCTCTCAAAACTTGCCCTTCTTTGCCTTTTTTCCTTAAAAAAAAAAAAATGTGGTTTTTGTTTTTTCTTTTTCTTCCGTGGTTTAACAAGGGAAAAGTTCCAGTTTTGTTTCAATGAAAAAGCATGTTTGCTAAATGATTTGTTAGGTGCCAGTCACAATCATTTTTTTTCTTTTCTTGGATTCCATTTTTTTATTTTGTCCTTAGCAAACCTAACCCTTTTGGTACCTTCCTTTTAGTTTTGTGACAGTCTATGAGCTTATGAAATTTGGGGTACTTTGTTACCTATATCAAGTCTCTTTTTGGTCTCATTCATATAGTTAGATACTGCTTTTCCTGTGCCAGGTGCTAGTGGCTCATTCCTATACTCGTAGTTATTCTGGAAGCAGAGATCAGAGGATCAAAGTTGGAAGCCAGCCTTGGGCAAATAGTTCTGGAGACTATTTTGAAAAAACCCATCACAAAATGGGCTAAAGAGATAAGGGTACCTGCCTGCCTAGCAAATACAAGACCCTTAGTTCAAACCCGAGTACCACCAAAAAGTAAATAAATCTTTAAAAATTAATTAAAATTTTTCCCATTATAATGTTCAGTTGGCATTCCAAAAATATATTCTGTTTACAAATTGAGAAAAAGCAATATACTCATACGTGTGAATGTTTTTTTTTTTTTCCCAGCATGGTAAGCTTATATGTGGTTATGTGAATTTTTATTGCTTTACTTTTATTAATCCCTTGTCTTTCTCACCTTTGATTTTTCAAATATTCTTACATCATTTGAGCTACTTGGTAGATTTTATGTTTCTTCTTTGCTCTTACAAGAATGTGTAGGTATGGCCTAGAACTTTTGTGAGGAAGGGTGGTTTAGAGCACATTTCTTCTCCTTTCCACCCATGTGTAAAATGAGTAAAAGAATTTACCTGATAAGGTTGGAATCAATATTACATGAGTTAATATGTGTAAAGTGCTTAGAGTGATGCCAAGCATTTAGGAAGTACTCAGGTCTTAAATGGTGTCAGTATTGTTAAGTCATAGGTACAGGATGAGATGATTCATGAGGACATTTATTTGATCCTTGGTTGCTATGATAATTATTAGGGGCTTAACTTTAAGATTTAGAACAAGTGAGAATGATGGGAATTGGAGGATAAGTTAAAAGATTGGGCTTATAGTTGTCATTTATAGAGCTAAACAGGCAGTTGTATACTCTTAGCTCAAAAAAGTCTCAAAAATTTTACAATAATTCAGCAGGACTTTGAATTGAATAAGCATCCTAATATGGAAATACTGGATTTAAAAACCAGATGTTACATCTTCTAATCATTATTCTGTTACTCTTTGGCTGTGACCTGGGATATATCAATGAATTCACTGTTGGTTTTTAGAAAATAAGTTTCATGGGCTAGATAATTACAGCTCTTAGTATTTTAAGGTTCTAGACTAGCACCATATTTTTCACATAAGAATTCTGAAGCATATTTCTCATGTCTATCTGTCCCTAAAAGTTAACTATTAACTTAAGCACCTCTAAGAGTCAGAAATCTCAAACATTGACTCATTCATTTTTAGCACTTAAGGACGTTGTTGATGTTCTTATTGCATAGTATCAAATTCTGACAATTGCATAGTATCAAATTCTGACAAGTCTGAATGTTCCACCCACCTTACTGTTTAATCAGGTTGTTTTTGTTTCATTGGGTTTTTTTGTTGGTACTTTATTTTGAAGTGCTGGGGATTGAATCCAGGACCACATATGCTAGGTAAGCGATGTAGCTATGCTCCCAGGCCCTATTTGTTGAGAGTTGTAATTATTCTCTTTGGCTAACAAAATACATATTTCATATATTAGCTAAGAAAGGTCAGTTATTTATTTTATTATAGTGGTGTTCCTATTTTGTATATTGTTCAGTGTGTTTAATATTTTCTTCCATGAGTTTTTTTTTAGTCTGATGTGACGCATAAAACTGGTTGCCTAAACTGACATGAATCTCAATCTGCTTTTTGCAGGGGGAAGGAGGAAGTTCTAGATAATAATAGTTTTTATTTGTTTGGCATTTTAATGTTTACTAGGCATTTTGAAGTACCATTATAGCTTTAGGTGTGATAGATTAAAAATTAAGATACAAATTAGTTGGTACCTGCAGCATTTAGGAAAAAAGGAGTCATTGGGGTGGGATTTTTTTTCTTTAGCTTGTTGGCATATGATGTTTTTGATGTTACTGAGTTGCCAATTCTTAACAGCCCAGTTAGAGTTTTATATTTATATGTATTTAGGGTCACCTCAAATAATACAAGAAAGAAAAGAAAGGGGGGGGGTAGTTTCCCTCATACCAAACTAGAGTTCTTACTGTTTCTCAAAACAAACAAAAAAAAAGAAAAACTTTGTTCCTTAATTTTTATATGCAATCATAAAGCTATTTCCAGTGTATAATTTTTTTAGCTTAGATCTTAGGGCAGGAAAGGGGATTTTTCTATGAAGGGTCATATCAAATGAGAAAGCAACCTTCCTGTTTCTATTCCTCTCTGTATCATATGATAGTAAGGCCTTAAAATTGAGAAGGCCTTAGTAAGCAAAGTTTGTTGTTTTCCTCCCAGTTTTGAAGTTCTGCATTTTATTACATAGTCACAAAGAACTAGTCTGTTCCCAGTAAATACTTTAGCCACAAAACTTGCTTCTCTATGCTGCTGCGTACTTCCTGTTTTGTCAGATTTCCATTTATGGAAAAGAATAGATTTTAGAGTAGGCTAGTTTGAATTTCATGTTTAAAGCATCCCCTGAAATTTACTTTGGGAGCCATCCAAATATCTAGAGGGGGAGGAAAACGCACGTCATGTTTCCAACATAGATTCGTTTTTCAGAAAGCTTCATTTGGCTTTGTATCTTGTCAGAGAGGCTTGCCAAGAAGGGAGAGAAACTGCTGTCAGAAATTTTTAGTGTATGACTTGCCAGCATTATTGGCTTGCCTTTAGACTTTCCATGTCAAACGTGTTTGAGTTTGTGAATGAATTATTACATTGCCTTTGAAAGAAGGATCTGTGTACATTTCTAGTAGACTTTTCTTTTAGAAATATGTAAGAACTGCACTCCGTCATTTGTTCCACTTACAGTGAGGACAGGTCAGAAGTCATATGTTAATTAGAATAGAAATGGGCTGCATTGTGAATGTGGGTTATCTTTTGAATAAAAGTTGCAATAAAACCATTTTAAGACTTTTGCAACTAAAATAGTGAATAGAGCATTGAGTTGTCTGTCACTTCTTAACCCTATGAAGTAAACTCCTAAGTAGGTCTTAATAGGCTGTCAGTAGAACATGCTTTCATTGTAAATCTGAACCCTACTAACACAACTATTAAGGAAACCTTGCGATAACAGTCTTTTACATTGGTGGAACCAAGCTCTTTCATAAAATTTTCTTTGACCAAATTGACCTGATCTGCTTTAAGTCAGAACTGTTTCTTTCTCTTTCTTGATTTTAAGTAAAATTTAAAAAATTCTTTTTAATCCCTGATCATTAATGAACAATTATACAATTTCTTTCTTATTAATACCCTGGCTCTTCATCCACCTTTGTGTTGGAAATGTTTTCCTAATATCTTTTTGTCACCCTCTTTGAAGAGCTGTTGTTGAAGTGTAAAATACTTGTACATCCCTTTTTACCTGGCTAGTTATGTGCTCTTATTTCTCATCATGCCCTATTGCTTTCATCCCCCATCTTGCTTTGTAACAGAAGTATCATCTCTTAAAACCTTTTAAGTAATCTTTCCGTTGTACTGTTCTCCTTTTCATAACCTATATCCATATCAGTGATTCTCAGCTGGGCATGGTGGCATATGCTATAATTCCAGCACCTCAGAGGCTCAGGCAAGAGAATCTGAGTTTGCAGCCAGATTGAGCTACACACCAAGACCCTGTCTCAAAAAGAATAAAAGCAAACAAACAAACGAGTCTCAAATTTACTAGTGTATTCATATGAATTACTGTTTGTCCAAAATATAGGTTCCTGGGCCCCATTTCAAATCTTGTGAATTTACATCTGTGGAGATGTAAATTCTTGAACAGGTGCTCTTTGAACCAGTTTGAGAAGAATTTTATTGCATCCATTCCCTCTATCATCTAAATCCTGTTCTTCATATTTTTCCATAGATTAGTGTTTTTACAAACTGGGTGTGGTGGCATACTGCTGTAATCCCAGCACCCATTGAAGTGGAGGCAAGAGGATTGTGAGTTCCAACACAGCCTAGGTAACATAGCAAGACTGTATCTTGGGGAAAAAAAAAAAAAAAGCCTAGTCTGTACTTGGTTTCATTCAGCTACTGTCATCACAGAAGTTTTTTCCTACTAATTGCTGACATCCCTTTGTTTTTCTCCCAGATTCATTAATTGGAGAGCTCATCCACTAGGTGTACAGGAAACTGCCCCATATTCCCTTCCATGTTTGTGAACATTTATGTCCTTCCCTTCTTAAAGTACTCACTTGTAGTCCAGTACATACCATATACATATCCATAATACACATACTTCTAATAGGCCTTCCTAGTGATTATAAAATGTGTATGCTGTTCTCCTTGGGGAAAGAAATGTATCTTTCTTTTTTGTAATTTAAATTTTCTTGGTGATGTGATACATTGTAGGCATTCCTAATGTTTCCATTGAATTTTACTGCTGTCTGCTGCTGACTCTTAAACCAGTCATACCTACTAAAGATACTATGTTACCATCTTTGTATCTCTTAACTCTATTTCTCTTTCTCTAAATTTTCAGTATTTCTTTGATGCTGCCTTAAGAATAACTCTTCCATATTATGTTGGTCTTTGAATACTGTTTTTTTCTTTCTGGGAAAAAAAATAATTCAAATAATACACTTCAAAGATAAACTCAAGATATAGAGGTAAGGAACCCTGCTCTTCAAAAGTCTTTATATATTAATCGTATTTCACAACATTGACTTCTTTTAAGAGAATGTATGGACTAGAAAGCTACCCAAAATAATGGTGGTTACCTCTTGACGGGTTGGGGTGGTCAAAGAAGGAACATTACTTTTATTTGTAAAATTCTAATTTTTAAATACTTGGGCGGGGGGAGCAGGTAATTGCATATTCACATAGCACATAATTCAAGTATGTACACTGAGTAAACAGTGGAGGTGAACTCAAAAAAATGCCTTGAAACACTATTTTGGCTTATGGAAATATGGATGGCTGTCTTTTCTGATTTTTTTTGTATTGCCTTTTAGGAGGTGTGCTGGGGTTTGAAGTCGGGTCCTCACACCAGTAATCTACAAATTGAACCATGACCCCAGCCTTTTTTGCTTTATCTTTCAGGTAGGGCCTCACATTTTTTACCCCAGGGCCAGCCTCCGGGTAACCCTTGGATCCCGATCCTCCTACCTATGCCTTCTGCATATCTGGGAACACAGATGTGCCATCATGTATATCCGCCTTATTTGTTGAGATGGGGTCAGGGTCTCCCTAACATATTTTTTGCCCAGTCTGACCTCAAACTACTACCTTCCCGATCTCCGCCTCCTGAGTAGTGGGATTGTAGGTGTGTGATACCATTTAGTGGTTTCATCAGAATAAAGGCTTCTTAGAATATTTTGTCAACTAAAGGGAAAAACTGTGCTCTAACAGTTCTCATAGGCAATTGATGTTGCTCCAAAAATGGGTTATATTTTTGGATTAAAATTAAATGCCCCTTTACTCAAACTGAAAAATAATGTTCTGGTTTGAAAAACAGGTTTATCCATTGTACTTAGTGTTATAAAAGGGAACCCAGGTGGCACACATGCTAGTGTAATGTTTAGATGCCTATTTGAATTGAAAGGGTAATGTCTTGCATTTCAACATTTTCTATAGTTAGAGGATTTTGTTTTGTCTGGTTTGTTGTAGTATATTAAACATGAAAATAGTCACCCTGTATATGTGCAGTCTTATGACTAAATACAATCAAGATACAGGATGTTTCCATCACTACAGAAAGTTGCCTGTATTTACTTAATTTCTCCTTTCCATTCCGAGAATAACTAGTCTGCTTTCTGTTCGTACAGTTTTACTGCCTTTTCCAAAATGTCACACAATTGGAAACAGTATGTATGGATCTTAGGACCTAAGTTTCCATTTCACGTAAGTAAATAATGGAGGAGTAGGAGCGCTGTGTTACATGCTAAGTGTTAAACGTCGTAAGAAACTGCCAAATTGTTTCTAAAGCAACTGTACCATTTTACTTTGCACCAGCAATGAACATTTGTTAGTTTGCATCTTCACTAATGCTTGCCCTTTGATCAGTCCTTTTAATCGTACACTTTCTAAAACTAAGTGGTATCTCATAAAGGTTTGATTTGTATTTCCTAAGAAATAGTGATAAGCATCTTTCCACCTATTTACTTAGTTAAGTGTGTTTGAATCTTTTGGCCATTTTTAAAAACTGAGCTGCTTTTTATTACTGAATTTCAAAAGTTCTATGTATTTTCTGGACACAAGTCCTTTGTTATAGATGATTCGCACATATTCTCCCTTAAGAGTTTTTCCTGTGTTGCCATTCTCTTAAGTGTTAAGAGAGCAGGTTTTAATTTTGGTGAAATTGTCTTTGTGGTTTATGCTTTTATAAGTTTTATAGCTTTATTTTTTTGTGTATGATAAGTATAGTTTGAGGTTTTGCTTATTTTTTTATTCCCTGCATATGGATGTCCAAATATTCCACCTCCATTTAAGAAATCACTGTCCTTTCTTCATTGATGTACCTTTCACCTTTGTCAATCATTGAACTGTATTTGTGAGTCTATTTTTGTACTCCATTTTCTGCCATTAATAATTTACAACATTAACTTTATACTAAGTCTTGAGATCAGGTAGTGTCTGCATGTTCTTTTTCATGTTGGCTTTTCTCATTCTTTTTTCCCATGTAAATTTTATAAACAGCTTAGTGATTTCTACCCTCTTACCACAGAAGCGTTTTGGGAATTTGTATTTATATTGAATCTTGAAATCATTTTGAGAATTAGCATCTTGACAATACTGAGTTTTAGTTTCTTATCATTTTATAATCAACCTAAAATCTTGCATAATTTTATAACTAGCTTTCCCTTTTTGCTACCATTTTAAATGGTATGTAATTCCCATGGTGTAGATGAAGAAACTAAGTATCTGAGTTTTACACACTTATAAAATGACAAAACATATTGAAACCTCTATCAGTTTATAAACTAATGTACTGATTTAAATTATAGTGCTAGTTGTCTTAAATTGTGCTTACAGTTGAGTAAAGAGGAAGCCCTACCTTGTATTTTTCTGAGTTTGTTTTCTGAATTAAAAAACCACCCTTGTCTTTATTTAGATTTCTCCAATCAATACATTTCTGAACTAGTGTTTTTTTAAATCGTATACCTCATCCTGCAGTTAATTAGCATACTTTCTCTAAGATATGTGTAGCTTTGATATCCAAATTCCAGATAAGATACAAAGACATGACTTTTAACTTTGTGCGGTTTTTGTTTTTGTTGAGAACAGAGTCTGGAACTTGCTATATAGCCTAAGCTGGCCTCAAATTCCAGATGCTCCTGCCAGAGCCTCCCAAGTGCTGAGATTGCAGGTGTGCACCGCTATACCTGGTCTGATTTTTTTTTCTTAAATAATTCCTAGTTCGAGCAGTTTAAAATTATTTCATTGTAATAAAGCCATTTTTGATGCATACATACGGTCTCTGATAGAACAAAAGCTTGGGCTATACAAGCAGCTGGACTTTCAATTTATTTTATGTTTTGGAGTCTTTTTTTTTTTTTTTTTAAGTTTGACAACTATTAAATAGGAAATATATAAAGGGCTTTTAGCAGGGAGAAACCTAATAATCACATTAAAGGGCTTTTGTTTGGCAGGCTGGTGGGAGTCCATAGGAAAGACCTTATTAGGAAAAGGCATGAGGAATACAATATGGATATACTGCTATATTGGAAGACAGTAAAGTACAGGTCAGATCTGGATTACATTTCTAAAGGGGTAAGGAATTTAAAATTAGAGAAAGAACATTAGGAGTCACTGTTGCACGTTAAGACATTTGGGGATTTCTTCTGGTTTTATTTTTTTGTGGCACTCACACTTGAACTCAGGGCATCACGCTTGCTAGGCAGGCACTCTACACTTGAGCCACTCCACCACCTTCTTCTGGTTTCTTATCAGCATGTCTTAAAAAATAAAAAAATTAACTTGCAATCTTAATTTGCTGTTTATGCAAAATGTATTGCCAATTAAATATGTTGATGACCTCTACCTCGGTTTTCTTGTTTTTAGGTATCATGGATGACAGCAATAAAGCAAATGGATAGTCTTATCAGATAAGTGCTTTTATTGTCTAAATACATTTTATTATGTGGAATCTTTAAACCAAACTTTATTCTGTGAAACATTTTCTTTCAGGTACCAGTCTCAGGATGATTTCTGATAAGGTACTCAGTCATAAAATAAATGTTATATTCATGTCATGTACTAGTTTTATTTTTTTTTTCCCCTGAAGCTAGTTATTCCTTAATGGTAGTTACAGAATGCCTGTACATTTGAACCTAGATTATGTCTGTGGATAGTTTGCATCCTTTTTACATATTAGCTGCAGAGTTAAGTAGATGTGCTTTTACAGTTTTAGATTTAACTGATATTATGGCACTGAATGTAGTTTACAGTTGATCTTGCTAAAATTGTTTCATTAGAACCAGCATCTTCTCTTAATTTTAAGGAGGGTTATTAACAATCCTGATGTGAGTTTAAGAACAGCCAAGTGAGAGAAGATTTATGTGCCATTCATATTTTGGAGCTTTGGGAAGGTATAGGACTGGCCATAGATTGGCTTGGGGATAGTTAACTTTTAAATTGTATAGGTCCAACTTAGGTATTTTTCTAAGTCTACACTTCTGTCAGTCTCTGCTAAATATATGAGTTATACAGTATAACATGTAATTTTACACTGTGGAAGACATGATAAATAAAGTGCTGGTTTTGAGTCGTTAGCTATTCAAGTGTAATGATTTGCTACTTAGATTACCCAAGTGCTCAAAGTCCTGTACCTAAACTCAGTGACTAGAACACCCTTCTTAGGAGAGCACAACAGCTGAATGTAGTGGTACTGGCATGAGCCCAGTATACTTGGCCTGAGTTCAGATTTTCTGTTCCTGCTGTGAGTACTTCTGTTGAGATTATGATGTGTTCTTTCAGGCCACAATACTGATTATTTCACTTAGTAACAGTGTGGTGCTGAGTGTGGAACCTAGGGCCTTTCACATGCTAGACAAGCAGTATTCTTAGTTTTGGCATCTGCTGAGTGGTTTTTGTTCAGGTTTCAGATCAAGAAATTTTTGAGTGACAGAATAGACTTTGATCCTTGAATCTACTCCTCACCACAATAAAGGAAAAGAACAGAAATTTTAAAGGCTTCCAAATTGAGACATCTTTCTTCTCTATCACTAAACTGTGGTTAATGATCAAATCATTTTACTAAATACAAGTGACAAGTCTCAATTGTACTTTTGTATACAACGCAACAGAATATGACCACTAAATTCCAGATGAAAGATGGAATGGGGTTTTGACTTGAATTCAGCGAATTCCAAAACTAGTTATTTAGTTCCTGAACTAAGGAGGGGTATTTTTTTGTTTCTTTTGATTTGTGGTCTAACGATATTGTCCATGCTGGCTTTGAACTCCTGGATTCAAGCAATCCTATCTCAGTTTCCCAAGTAGTATGGATCAAATTAGGCAAGTGTATATTTTAATATTAAGTGAATGTCCTCAATTTACCACCATCAATTTTGTCAAGCTGATAGTAACCAAACTTCAGTGTTACAAGAGAAAAATTTAATGAAAATTGGTCAGTGGGATCATAATCCATAGGGGTAAACAGTTACATAGGATAGAACTGTGACAGAAATTAGAACAGTTGAAATAAATGTTACATGTTATCATCATCTGATTCATCTTCTTCCTTCAAAGATTCCTAGTAAGAGAGAAAATGTTAAAAAGTTAACAGTATTTTTATATCCCATTACCTGTAGGTCAATTAAGATACAACTTGAACATAAATCACTTGTCATTAAACAGCCCTTTATTTATGATTGAAAAATGAGTATTTACTTTAGAAATTAAATGATAAGTTTATCTACCTCTTAACAACACAATGACTATTGATTAAGTATATATAAATGAAACTACTTTTTTGGGGACCAAGTTAACTTGCCCACTAAAAATAGCCTAAAAATTACTATCCTTTGTTCAACTCTTAAGGCATTACTTTAATAAAAATCAAGTTACTTTATTATTCAGGGCATGGTTTTGATTAGAAGAATTTCTTGACAGGACTTACCTTAGCATATTTCTCTGCTTCTTCCCTTATATCTTTTGGAACAATTTCATGTCTTCCTTTAGTTACTGTAAGTTAAGCCATATAGTAAAAAATGAGGATTATATTAAGGTTTGCATTACCATGCAATCCACAAGTGGTATGACTCATCTAAAGTTATAAAATTGTACTAAGAATACCAGATGCATTTTGTGCGTTTCCTCACTTTGAGACTAAATGTACCGAAGTTACAAAGCTCTTTTGAAAATCAAGAGTAAATTATGATTTACAAATCCTAAGTGCTGATTTACAGCATGAATGGATTTTTGAAAATAACCTATTCCTGAAAACCTTTCTCAATACTATCTTTTAAAAATGTGAAGCAGGTGTTTAAAAAGGGTTGAACTACTTACAACTTTCCCTTCATTAGACTATCTGGTAATTTTGTTTTGGCTTTCTTTATATTAAGAAGGGAACCCAGTAGTAAATTAAGTGCAGTGCAGATGAGAAATTAATATCCAGAAACAACTTACATTCACCAACCCAGCTAAGCTCCAGTTCAAAAGCTTTATCCTTAACTTCATCATGTACTATGTAAATTCTAGATAGAAAAGAAGAAAAGTAATATTTTATTTGGTCACCTCCAAACACTGAAGTTCACTTCCCCACAGTGAGTACAAAATTAGAAAGCCCATGTGTAAAAGCTCATCCATAGTAACTTATTTACAAGATTAATGTATAAAGACAAACTACACGATAATTTGAGATTAAAATGAAACACTTGTCCTCCTACAAATACTGAAACTATGCAACTCAAGTTCAGTTTATTTTGACACATTATTTTAAAACTGTTAACTGAAGACATCTAATAGGGTGTGAGCCACACCTGTAATCCTAGCTACTCAAGAAACAGAGTTCCAGAAACCCTATCTTGAAAAATCTCATCATAAAAAATCGACTGGTCTAGTGGCTCAAGTGGTAGAGTGCCTGCCTACCAAGAGTGAGGCCGTGAGGTATTGTTTTGGGTTTTTTTTGGTGATACTGGGGCTTGAATTTAGAGCCTTCACCTTGAGCCACTCCACCAGCCCAGTTTTTTGTGATAGGGTTTATGGAGATAGGGTCTCATGAACTATTTGCCTGGGCTGTGATCCTCCTGATCTCTGCCTCCTGAGTAGCTAGGATTGCAGGCTTGAGCCACCAGCGCCTGGCGGCCTTGAGTTTTAACTCCACTGCTGCCAAAAATAAATGTAAAAAAATTAAGTATCAAAGTAAAGTTTAACACTTTCCATTGACTTAACATTACTTTTAGAAGTCTTCCTTGACCCTTTACCAATGAGCAAGTTAAGATACAACAACCTCCATTTAATTCACATCTGCAATATGTTAGTTCCCACTGTTCCTATTAGTCACTGGCAATAAGAGAATGGCCTCTGCTTGCTTCACAACCGAAGCTCGGGGTACTTTCAGTAGCAACAGTGGTAGACAAATTGAGACGCAACCATCAGTTTGGAAGAGATAAGGATATCATTCACGTTATATGAAGGGCTCTCTCTGGGATATTTTCTCCTTGTATGTATTAAGATGTAAAACCTGAGACACCTACTGCACTGAGAGCTGACTCAGTAAGACCTCCTTCATATGGTTATAATGTGGAAAAGTGGTGCTGGGGAAATCTCCAGGGTATTGCAGGTGGAATCAGAAAAGCTGACTACAAAGCCAGCATTCAAAGCCAAATTTCAATTTCACTGAATTTTTTTTTTAACACTAATGCCTCTGTTCTTGGCTCTAGGCTTATAAATTTTTGAAAACAGGTTTATTGACTTTATTGTTGCTTGTTACACTGGATAGTTATTGTCCTTCATGTACTCTTTGTAATATAAATCACTCAGCTGGTTTTTTAAAAGTTTTGAAATACTGCTCTTCTCATCTGGTTAAGAGAACAAACCTGTAAGAGAGACAAAATTTGTGGAACAGGGGGAGTACCTCAGAGGTATAGTGCATGTTAATTAGCATGCAGCCCTGGGTTTGATCCCCAGGGCCACAAAAAAAAAGTTTTTAAGTTTTCTTGAAGACAATCTAAGATTACTATTATTGGGATTTACAAGATTCCATTGTGTCCTCCTACCATTAAACCCTATTGCCCAAATAGGAGTTTATTTTGTCAGAAGCTTGATTTTCACATCTTATTACAACTAAACTAAACAATGTAACTTACTTTAGCCTGGCACCAGTGGCTCATGCCTATATACCTGTGAGGATGAAATCAGGGAAGACTGGGTTCAGGCCAGCCCAGGCAAATAGTTGGTGAGACCTCATCTCCAAAATAACAAAAGCAAAATGGAATGGAAGTGTGGCTGAAGTGGTATAGCACGTGCTTTGTAAGAATGAAGTCCTGAGTTCAAACCTCAGTTCTCCCCTGCTCCAAAAAAAAAAAGAATATCCTTTAAAAATAAGGATATTCGGGAGCTGGTGGAGTAGCTCAAGTGGTTGAGTGCCTGCCTAGCAAACATGAGGCCCTGAGTAAAAACCCCAGTACCACCAAAAAAATAAACAAAAATAAGGACATTCAGGCTTGGGGTGTGTCTCAGTGTCAGTGCCACATTCCTTTCCCCCCATCCCAAAAAGGTCCTTAATGAGGATTCCTAACACAGTAAATCTATGTTCTAAATTACAACATTTTCAAACATAGCAGCTCTTAGAGTGACTATACAAAGAAACCTCAAGTGAAAAATTATTTTGTATGGAGAGTTTCAACTTACATTTTTGCAACTTCTTTAACAACATCACGACAGGTCATTTCTTTCATCTACACAAAAAAGGTATTTTAAGTTTCCATTCTTACAGCTATTTTCAACTTGTTACTAATATTATCCATGCTTCTCAAGTAGATTCTCAAATATAAAACAAAGTAAAATAACTTAAAATCCAAAGAAGGAAACATTAGTTTTCTGACTCATAAATTAATATTTTAAAATTAGTATCCCCAAAACAATATTCTAGATAACCCTCATACCACTAATTATGTATTAAAATTTGTAAAAATCCAGAGCCCTCTATGAATCTTTCCATAGAAAGACCCTGAATTCTGGAAAATTAGGGAAGAAATCTGATTTTCCTTACAGCCAATCTAGAATAAAATCCTACAAACGGGGAATACTTACTAGAAGATACTAGGTAATTGTAAGACATAGAAAGATGGCATTTAAAGAAAAAAAAAATGACCCTTTAGGAATTATTCGAGACAAAAATGCAAAAAATCTGAAAGCTTTTTGAAAAATCATCAAGACTTAAGCGGTTCTTACAGATTTGATTTGGTAAGGTAAATGAAAATGTGCAAAGCAGAAGTGGGAAGCCAAATTCATATATGGCTTATTCATATTAGAACATTTGGAAATCAAGGTAGAGAAAAGTAAAGATTTTACTATTAGACGTTAGGGTTTGTGAACACATGTAACAGTCAAAACAATGTGCAAACTAATGTGCATAGTTCAGATACTTTAGGGGGCTGTGAAGGTTAAAAAAGGTTAGGGTGAAAGATTACACCTGATGTGTTATTTGACTGCAGTATCTTTAAAGGAAATTCATTAATATTTTTCATTTTTAATTTAGAAATCCTGATGGTCAACCTATGTCTGAATGACCAAAAAAAAGGATTGGTAACAATAGCCAAAGTCATAATGTTGAATTTAGGTCTTAGAATACTACACAAATCCCATGAGAGTATAACTACAAAGGCAACTGATGTGGACTCTTTAAGACTAAAACGTTGTGACCTAAATTTAAAGAGATCTAAGAAACAAATACATTTTCTATATTCTATAGCATGGTCTGAAAAAGACAGTGTTGAGATTATTGAGGGAATTCAATTATGAACTGCAGCATGATAGCTCAGCATGTCAACAGTATTGTTTTAAGATGAATGCTGGAGCATTTAAGGGTTCAGTATCTTATCTGCCAACTTTGTTTCAGATAGCTCAGGGGAAAACATACAAATGGATATATAAAGGAACCCAACAGCTTTATTAGAAGTTAGTTGTAATATTCTTACATATTCTCATGTTTACATTTTTCAGGTTAAATTAGGGGGGAAGGAAAAGAAAATACCATTCTTTATATTTTTAAGTTCTCTATTTAGTGAATTAATTGCATCCTACAAAGGAAGATGTGAAATAAAACACATTTTTACATATGTTTCATGAAGTTTTTCTTTTTTGGTAAATAATCAGAAGAAAAAAAAATGGCTAGAGCAATGGGACTTTTTGTTTTCCCATTCTTTACTAGGTTTTAATCATAGAAGGGCAAAAGCACAGTTGATTGCTCAAAGTATTCAAATTTTAAAATTTCCTCATACTATGAAGAAATGTAAACAAAAAGAAAAAAGAGTAAGAAGTTAGAAACATAGCACCACACCCAAAAGGTATAGATAATATTCACAACCAATTTATTCTGTGACCCTAGACAGTGTGTTTAATCTGGACTCGGGCTGGCCTAAGTGACTGCTCCAAGATCCTATTAGGGGACCCTGAGTTCAATCCCAGTACCACCAAAAACAAATAAATAAAGGTCCTTTTGTCATCTTTATTAAAAATACCCCAAATTGGGCTTTATAGGGGGTTCCAGAACTTAACATTAAATAAATACTAAATATTTGCAAGTACTTTCAACAACTGAGCCTCAGTTAAGCAAGACTGTAGTACAGAACCAACATGAAATGAACTCTTAAAACCAAAACTGAAAACAGGAAAAATGCTATATGTATGTTTTTATTGAGCTGATCCTATGACATTAACTCAATCTGAAAATCAAGCTACGGATCAGTAGTCTATGAACTGACTTCAGTGACTTTGAAACATTACATAAAAGCTTATTTTTTATTTTTCTAGATTTAGGATTATTTACAGCAGCCATCAGAGGATTCATGATACAATAATATATGGATGTATGGATAAGCTTTCCTATTTAATCCATTAGCTCAGAAAACACTAAACATCAAACTGTACTATATCCTTGGATTAAGAGACATAATCCAAACTTCACTTCTAGCAAAATTCAAGCACTAAGTATGTCTTACCTGAAGTTTTTCTATTTCTGTCTTTGCAGCTTGCCTGGCTTTGCCAATGGCACAACCCCAATATCCCTATTTATTTAAAAAAACAAAAACAAAAATACATAATCATTCAATTAGTATACTATTTATCACTAATGGATGCTGTTTCTGTTTTAAAAGTCATTTAAATAAGTTAGAAACATACACACATGAATGTCAAAGCATTCTAAAATTAACATACCAAACTTAATTCTAGAAGTGGACCAGGGCCTTGCACGTGCCAGGCAAATGATGTACCACGGAGCTACACTCCTAGCCCTATATTCAGTTTTAAAACATAGTATTTATAGTAGTGAAAGAATCACACATTCAAAATGTTATATCCATTATGTAGTTTCTATATAACACAATGAAAGCCAAAAATTTTTCCCCTGCCTTACCCAGACTGTTAAATGATGATAAATAGGAAAATCATTATTTTTCTTGAAAGAATTATAAAAAATTCTATATAATCCAGGTGAGACCATTAAACTATAATAGAATTTAAGATGATTAAAAATTACTCACATATGAAACACCTGATGGATCAATCATGTACAGTTGTGCACCATCATTCGTACTGTAAGAGCCTAACATGAAGCTGCATAAAAAAAATTATTTAAATCATACTTCTTAATACTATAAAAGTATATGTGTATTTTTCTTTTTAAAAAAACAAAAAACAGAAAACCCTGTGCTAGGAATTTGCTCCCAGTTCCTGCATGGGGAACAGGAAATGTCTCTTTCTACCCACCTCCGCCCCCCACAACCTGCTTTTAGTCTATTCAACATGTATTTCTTTCCTAATAAGCTTTACTGTTACTTAAAACAAACAAACAAAAAAAAAAAACCTGTGGTATGACTGCAATTATGATTTCTAAGATAAATTACTAATATGAATTACTCATAGTAAGTACTTTGTTAAGGCAGTTTCAATTAATAAAAACTAGTATATACTAGAGTAGTCAACATTCATGTGGCTTCTTTGTTTGGTATTAAACTTCCCCTTCCTCCCTCCTCTTTTTTTTGGCAGTACGGGGGCTTGAACTCAGGACCTCACAGTTGCTAGGCTTGGTAGGCTTGCTGGGTAGCCTCTCGGCCAGCCCAGTAGTAAAATTCATGATGAAACTATCTTAGGAAGACAACCATGTAGAGAAAGGAGTAATGTAGACAGGTGAAAAACAGAAAACTAAATGCAAGTGTCTGATAAAGGCATGAAAAAGCCAACAGGACAAAATTCTTGGTTGAAAGCACACTGGATCCATGTTAGACTCTTTCTAGTATTTATTTTATACCCCTCCACCCAATATTCCTCCAGTCTTTATAATAATCAGAAATGGCTCACTTTTTTTCTTTTTATCACTTTAGGCTAATAAACAACATGAATTACTGATTTTCTGAAATTGTTATATATTTCCTTTGCTTTAAAGAGAAATCAGCTTCATAAAACTATCATGTCACATGCAGAATATTGTAATAGCCAACTATCAAAATCTCACCCCTCTTTGTTCACACTGATGAGATTTACCTTACTGTAAAACCCTTCAGTACTGCTCTTGCTATAACTCCTTACCACAGAGCACAGACTTCTGGCCTCTCACCATCTCTTCCGTATCATCTATAGTCGCTATACAATGTCAAGAACACCTGACTGCCTCTGCATTATCCAACCCGTTCATACCCAGTCTCTTCACTTGAAATACTCTTCACCCATTCCCCTTACAATCTCACCACCTGTGCTTGCAGCTTCTCCAAAAATAGGTCTGCTCTAATTTCCTACCCTGCATACTCAGTACATATCTGTATCTTATCACCTCTAAGGTATCAGTGGTGACATTGGTCTGTGTCCCCACATCTATGATTTACTCATAGTGTATACTCAAAAACCTAAAAATGCCTTTTGCTGCTAAGCAGGAAGATATAGAAAATCCACTTGAAGATCTAAGACCTATATATAACGGCCACTTAAACCACAATCTGATGCAGAAATAACCTTGTTAAATAAACTATTATTAAACTTGAAAAAAAATTCACTATTTTTACTCCCTTAAAGATAGCTAAAAAGTAACTGATGAACACAAAGCTCAATTAAAATGTAAAAAATAAAAGATATTCTATAGAGTCAAAAAGAAAAAATGTTTCATGAGTAATTCAAGTGACAACCTTCAAAACTAAGGTCACAAGTTACCCACCAGGTCTAACCTCTTGCCGGTAGAATAAAACTCAGGTATTCATGAATATCTGCCTCCTTGGTAATTTAAATATAGCTGACTGTAACCAATTCAAAGATAGGACTAGAGCTAAGCACTAAGATGTTAGTAAATGTTTTATTTTAATCAAGCAAGACTAGCTATTTCGTTTTTTAAAAGTTACTTTTCATTTCAGGGAAATCTAGCCCTAACAAGTCTCCCATGAGAAACCATAATTGAATATTTACAACTATTCCAGGTCTTGCTGCAATTGAATCTTTCACTTTCTCCAAAAACAGAAAGTAATAGCTCTTCACCTTAATAACCGAAATAGGAAATTTGAGTTTTATATATTCATTACTATTAAAAAAAAAAACTCCATTTAAGAACATTTTATCTCATCACTTACATTAGAGAGAAATTAATGAGAAAACTAAAGTATAATTAGTTACCTAATGTTAACAGGGAGTGTATTTAAAATCACAATTCCTGAGAATATCAGGAACGTAACATTAAAGAATTTACTACAATCAGATTAAAATCATAATTACGACTCCTCTATTTTATCATTACTTCAAATCTGTATGATCCCTTTTACTACTCAAATACTTTTTATGTACACTTACAATCACTGCTGTACTACTTCATGGTAAAAATTTGTATTAAGTGTGTAAAAAGCTAATGTGTTGAGGAAAATAGGTATCTACAGTACAGATACAGCTTGAGTATCAAAACCTTTCTTACCTGCAGCCAAAAGGTCTAACGGCACTGTAGAGTGTGTAAGCGTGTACGTACATGGCCACTCTGTCTGCAAGATGCTACAAGGGGTAAGGAGAAGGAATTATTAGCACATTTCTATTATTATTCAAAAAAGGCTCCTCAGTATGTTGCCAACTTACTTTTAGTGGAATGTTATAGCCAAAGTTAGATCTAAAGTTGGAAGCTTCTTCTCTTGCTATGTCTGCTAAAGAACGAGCATCTGCCAACAAACCTGCTACTGCCTGAGGGGAAAAAAGTACCAATTTAATAAACATTCTTATAACAAATCAAAAGGTATCCAATTATTTTTTTGTCTTATCCCATGGTCCTCCTCATTAACTACTTCATTATTTAAAAAATGGTGTTGGTCAAGGTTCATCTTTATTTAAAAGTTACATGTTCCAAAAGTTACCAAAGTTTTGGTCTAAAGGGCACAACCACATCTCATCTTTTTCAACCTACTGGCTAATAAACTACAATAAGAAACCAAAATATATGACAAACCATTAATCTTTCAGGACTGGAAGCTTCGAACTACAGTTCCGGCATATGTGCTGAGATGCCCTAGGGCACTGTAGTGAAGTGTCAGAGGTGGTGTGGCTCATTTAAATTTGGAGTAAAAAGTCAAGTAGTTCAGTTTTACATTAAAGCTGAACTACATTTTTTTCAATGGCCTCAAATCTTTAAGAAGCAGGGTTCACAATTACAAAATTCAATAAAAAATGGCAGCATCCAATCAAATTCCAAAGTATAGGAAGATGTGCAGTATACCTCAGTACTTAATAAACAAGCCCACTGGGTAGTTCTGGCCTAGAGAAGCAATGAGAGGAGGGGAGGAATTCACTGAGACACTTAACTTTCTGTGAACCCAGAAAGTTTGGAAACTGCTTAAATTTGCAGAATTTAAAAGTGCTATAAGAATCGTCAACAACTTTTTTCCTAATTCTTCTAGTAATTGTAATCTTAACACATACTAAATGCTTATTACATGTTAGGCATTTTGCATAATTATTTTTAACTTCACAATAACAGTATGAAATAAAAGTTTACCATCCTTGTTTTACAGACCAGAGAAGGGTATTTAGAATAACTTCTCAAAGGTTATCCAACCCAATGTTTCATCATTTAAAGAAGCTACTATTGCTTTGGAGAACTTAGTTGAAAAGAATAATTCTTAATTCTGAAGTCACTTTGAACATGACAATTGTGGATAGAGGACATTAGGCCTTAATTTTCTCTAATCCTCTTAAATATTGAATGTTTTACCAATTTCCAAGTAAGAGGAATGTCATCAACTCTTGGCTTTAACATATGGGACAAACTTGAAAATTCCAGGACAAAATTTTTCTATCACTAAACGCCTATTTGATGCATATATGACTTTCCCCCACCAAGTGTACCTAAACTTTTAAAGTAAAAGGACACATAATTCACCTCCTACCAACTAGGTTAGAATCGAGCAAGTTTCATCAAAACATATCAGTTTCACTGGCTACAATAAATCTGTTCAGGAGAGAAGGTATTTAGAAAAAAAAAAATCTTTGAAGAGGCAAAGGAAAAAATTAGTTTTATGATTTACTAGTTGTATTTTCCCAATCCTTTTTATGTTTGTATGTAGCATCACATGTGCTATCAGCAAATTAGTTGGGTGCTAGAGGGTATCACTTCAGAATGAGCTTTGGAGTAGCATGGAGTTCCAAGTATGAATCCCAGTTTTCACTCTCCTACCTATGCATCTGTTTTCTGATCTGTAAAGATGGGATTAATATTACCTTCACTGAGTTGTTAGGATTAAGTGCAAAGAGATCACTAGCACATGTAGGATGTTCTCTTTTCTTCCTTGCCTAGCAGAAACATTCAGTTTTTTTATGGGTGGTAGCTCTTACTAAAGAAAATGTGACAGCTATATAGGATGACTTCAGTACATACCAGGAGTATATTTATGGCTTAGTTTGCAAAGCAGTTATTACGACAGCCAGGATACAGCTGTGTGAAATAACTAATAGTGATGCCTATGAAACTACTAATGTGTTCTCCTTTCCTTTCACTAAACGTCCTTTCCCAGTGACACTGTACTTCAAAGGTATTCTCTATCTGCTAACATCTTTAGTGTAACAACATACAAAAAGCAGATTCCTTACCTCTGAAACATGTATCTTCCCCATTAATGATATATGCTGCCAAGATCTCATTTCTATACATATTCCCTATCTTCATCCTCTCCTTTTCTGAAGGCAACTTGGTTTTCCACATCTGTCACAATAAGTTCGTAAGAATGCCACCTTTTCATGTAGGTCATCAAAACCCAGAACTCACTCTGATTCCGCTTGTGGCTGCTCATTTATCTACTATTACCTCAATGTTAAAGAAATAAATTGGTTCTTAAAATTGGATTTTATTGTATTTCAATCAGTAACTTCAAAAGAAATTGGACAAAGCAAAGAGGAATACTTTAAAATGTGACCTCACCATTCCAACATGCCGATCAACATTAAAAAGTCGTTTGTTAGAACCTTCTTCATAAAGTTTAGAAAGGACTAATTTTTCTACCCCAAAGACAACACCATCTTTACATCTGATCCCAATAGCTGTACTGAAACAGAAAAAAATAAATTAACTGAAAATAGAAGAAATTTCATTTAAAAAAATCACAAAAACAGGTAATACTTAAAGCATGTCAAATACATTCAAAATCCACAAAGGGAAAACAACCTAAAGTATGATAAGATCTATACAAATGGGTATCATGTAAGCCCCCCAATTGAGCATATCGGTTAACAAAAAAAAAGAATTAAAATGTAAGAAAAGTTCTAAGAAAATATGTACGATATAACACTGTGGCATTTATGTTAGTCACATTATCAATGCATATATTAAAAATGGTACATAATATTTGTAGAAAAGAAAGGCTATAATACAAACTAAAAAGTTGTTAACTGACTAGTCTGAATGGAAGAACATAACATTCCTTCCTTTTGCTCGTCTATTTCTTCCAATTTTTCTGCAATAAACGTATTGCTTCTAATAAGTATAAAAAATAAAATACATTCTGTTACAACTGTTAAGATAAAAAAGATCTTAAACTCAAGTACAATTTGGAGAAATTACATGCTATTTCAAGATTAAAACATGTTTTTGGGGATTTTTTTTGGTGGTGGTGATACTAGGGTTTGGTTCAGGGCCTCACATTTGCTAGGCAGGCCACTATTACTTGAGCCACCCCACCAGCCCTTACCCGTTTTAATAAAGGTAACTGTCATGAGAAACCACCAGTGAGAAAATAAATGTGCTTGATTTGTATAGTTTTTTGGTAAAACTATCTCAGTGCCTCTATTTTGGTGTCACCAAGTTCTGATCACTTGCTTTTCATCTGATGAAACCATGGGGCGGCTTCTCAGACAAATGAACAAATGGACACAAAAATCAAGAATTTCAGAGTGACTATTCCATATTTTAGGTGTCCTCAGGCTGAAAATTAGGCAAAGTCCATTAAGCTTATTCAATTTCCTCTTATAAAACTTGTAGTGTACTAAATTTAACCTCACTGTCATCCTTCTTAACACCTCATGTTCATTTTTGCCTCACATCTTTGAAGTTATCCTGGTTATTTCCTCCTCTTCACAGTTAAACCATTTTCCACAAACATTTGCAAATGTCCTTGAATTTAACTCTACAGCCTCTTGCAACCTTTCCTAATTCAACTTATCTTCCTCACTGCCTAGATTCTAAAACAGTCTATTTTATAAAACTTCTTACTATGTAATTTTGCAACTTCTTGGGAATCCCTTCCTGAGACCCTTTCAGGGGGTTTCTGAAGCCAAATTTTTGTAAGAATACAAAAACTTTGGCGGGGGGGGGACGGGGGACGGACGGACGGGGAAGGTGGCACAAACAATGAATACACATGTAAATAAATGTAATGATAAAATAAGTTCACTGTATGGACTTTGCACTGATGGTTCAGAAGCAGTGGTGGGTAAGACTGCTGGCACTGTAACATGAATCAAGTCAGTGACAACAATACTAGTAAACTATTCTTTCCTTCCTAATCACAGTTCTAAAACACTACTTTAGTTAAGAAATGTCCTAGATGAAGTAGTAATTTTATTACATCTTATTTTAACCCTATGTACCTATCTTTTTAATACTCTAGTAATGAAATAGGATGCAAAGTCCTTCTACATACAAAATATGATGGCTGCCTCAAGGAAAAAGCACTTGTACAACTGTTTTCAAGTTGTGAGTTTTCTCATAAGAGAGAATATGTCTGATCCAAGGCCACGCAGACAACACGTGATGCAGCCAAGGGTCACTCATTGTACGGAAAAAGTATCAGACAAATCATGGTTATTTACATATATAGCAGACATTCTTTTCTAAAACAAACATGGTGAGTCTGTCACTTCAAGGGAAGCCACTGTAATATTTGTTGCCCATGATTAAATTCAAGCTTTCAAGATAAAAACTGAAATTTTAGAAAGCTGTAAGCCTTCCTGTTTCTCAATAGTTACAAACTTCTATATTGAGAAGAGTGGTGATACTTACAAATGTGATGTTTTTGATAGTTTAAAATGAAATGTGTCTAATTTGGAAGATCTGTTACAACTCAGTGAACCATAGTTCTCAAATGGTCAATCCATGATGCTATGAAGCCATGCAGGCATAAAAGATCTACAGTGCAAGATAGCCCAATACATTTTAATGTAACAAAACACAAGTTCATCCATGTTTTCAGACTCCATCTAATCCTTAATCTACAATTTGCCAGGCACCAGTGGCTCACGGCTTTAATCTTAGCTATTTGCGAGGCTAAGATCAGAGGGATCGAGCTTCAGACCCAGCCTGAACAAAACCTCTGTGAGACCCTTACCTCCAAAATACCAGTGCAAAATATATAGAACACCTACTTTGCAGATGTGAAACCCTGAGTTCAAACTTCAGTCACACACACACACACACACACACACACAATGTAACTTGTGTAGCTTTGGTGTAGTATCAACTATATCCATAATTATGTGAAAAGGCTTTCCAATCACATATGTATGTAAAGTGTGATCTGCATTACATACCTCAGTAAGCTTTAAAAAATAAAAATAGAATTTATCGGTCTTTATCAAGGTAATGAGACTGAGATTTGCAAAAATGGAAAACAATGCCACTCACTAAATTTACTAAATTTACAGTTTGGAAAAGTTATTTTTCCTTTAAAATGTTCCTAATGTTAATATGCAATCATATATATGCATGTATTATGTATGTATTTTGGCAGTACTGGGATTTGAACTCAGGGCTTTGTGCTTGCTCTAGAAGGTAGCAGTAGCTTGCGCCATAACTCTAGCCATTTTTATTACTTTACATACACAATTTTTTTCAGTGCTGGGAATCAAACCCAGGACCTAATGCATGCCAAGTAATGTGCTTTATCTCTGACCTACATCTTAGCCCTGTAGTTTGGGGTTGGGGGGCGTTGTTGTTGCTGTTTTGTTTGGGTTTTTTCCTGAATATTTTTGACCCACAGTTGATTGACTGCAGATGTCAAGCCTGTGTGTACAGCAGTCTAACTTTATAATTGTAAGATCTTTCATACTATATTTGCTAAGAAAGGATCAGGAATCAGGCATTTTTGCTGGCTACAGCAAACTAAATTCTCCTTTACATGCTGTGCTTCTTCAGACAAGTGTGTGTGTGTGTGTGTGTGTGTGTGTGTGTGTGTGTGCTGGGGATAGAACATGGAACACACACAAGATAGGCAAATGCTCTACCATGGTACTACATCTCCAACACATAGGCAGGCTTTTTAATCCAAGGTACTGAAGTCATCATAGGAATATGGCCTTGTGCAGCTAAGAAGCTATGCTAGTTTGGTCAGCTCTCTTAGTGCAGGGGCTTGGACAAAGTTGTTATATGCCGAAAGTTCTGCAGTTTCAACAGCAATCCATCTCTCTTATAAATTCAGCTAGCATTTATTAGGCACTTGTTGGGGGCCCCACATATAATTATTCCTGTCAAGAACTTTGAAAACAGTATTATTACCTCTATTTTAAAGATGCAGAAACTGAGACAAAGAAATTAAATACCTGACCCACACAGGATGATACAGCTAGGGGTCAAACTCTGGTGCCAAGACCTCTCTTTTGTGGCTTCCCTACCCCTGGGCTTCTGTAAGCTCCTGGCTAGGAACAGCCCCTCAAAGACCTACAGGGGAACTGGGATCTGGAAAGGGTAATTATTATCTTAGTAAAAGCATGTAAATTTATTATTATTTTAAATGATTAACACATTTTTAACTCTTTCATTTGTATTTCTAATACAGTAAATATTAACATAACCTATACTCTATACAAATAAATGCTTTTTGAGGCCCTCAATAATTTTTGAAAGTATAAAGGCATACAAAATTTTGTATACATTTTTGTTCTAAACAATCTAGTCTTTACATTACACAAAGTTCCTTTCATATCTTGACTCTTCAATGAAGCTAAAAGGGAGAATTAAAATGTTTCTTTTTTTCTTTTCCATGTAACCATTCCAGGAGCATATTTTTTTAAATAGGATCACAGCATGTATATTTAATGCTTACTAGTTCTGTTGACTTTTTAAGTACCAAAGAATTACCTCTAGAGGGGGTGAATCTAATTGTAGATGTCACAATGAAACCCCCTTGTACAACTAATACTTACTAATAAAAATGTAAAAAGAAACCCTTTTGATATAACACATTAAGTCAAATTATTACTTATATGCCAGACTCTCAAATGAAATTAATATACAATCTAATTTTTTACTTATTATTTTCTGTGCCAACATAGCACAAATGTTTTTACATATATTTTATTCTTATAGTAAGGTATGTGAAGTAGTTAAGATAGATGGAATATTACAAAAGTAACATTCAGGGATTGGGAGTGTAGCTCAGTGATAGTGTGTGTGCTTGAAGTCAGTGGCTCATGCATGTAATCCTAGCTATTTAAGAGGCAGAGATCAAGAGGATCACAGTTTAAAAAGATATATCTAGAGGTATTTGATAGAAAACAAATTCCTAAGTTGCCCAGACTGGCCTCAAACTCCTGCATAGCTGAGACTAGAGGCACATGCCACTGGGCCCACCAACTTTTCCCTTAAACTTTAATTATAGTAGGTTTTGTAGAGAATAACAAGTGCATTTCAGCCTAAAATTCTTAGCCTTTTTTTCTATTATGCTATTAGATATTTATAACTTGTAACAATAGCTCTAATAGTACAACATTTAAATATAAAATACAGTATCTTCACACAAATCCCAGAGAACACTTAAATGTATTTTTTGCTTAAATCTTTGAAAATATTTCACAAACTTTTAGAAATTCTTTTGCCTTCTTTCTACCATTCAGAAGCCAGCACATAAAATGAACATTTATTCACTAACTACTGAGGGCTTACTATGTGCTAGCACATGCAAAGAAAAACAACTTCTATCCTAATAAAATTTTCATAATCAAGTATCAGAAATACCAATACAGGCTAGGTGCCAGTGGCTCATGCCTATAATCCTAGCTACTCAGGAGGCAGAGATCAGGAGTTAGTGGTTCAAAGCCAGCCCTGGCAAATAGTTTTCGAGACCCTATCTCAAAAAATACTTAACACAAAACAGGGCTGGTGGAGTGGCTCAAATAAAGCCTTGAGTTCAAACCCCAGTACTGTCAAAAAAAGTAGAAAGTGAAAAACTCATTATTTTATCCATACTCTTCTAAATTCCTGGAAGCATTTCCCTCTTATACTTTTATTGAGAAGGTTTTTAACTGCAATAGAAAAACTAAGCCCCAACATTAACACCCTATTTGTATCTGAACAACAAATTTTTTTTCAAAGGGATCTGTCTGAGAAGATGTTATGAAACAAATTCCAGGATGTAGCTCAGTGGCAGAGCTCTTGCCTAGCATGCAGAAGGTCCAGGTTCAATCCTCAGCACAAGGAAAAAAAAGAAATTGTGTATTTAAAAAAAAAAAACTTTAATTTATTCTACAGCTATTTTAGATTCAGAAATATATAGTACAAGATTTCTTCAATTAAAACTCACAAAATTTGTGGACAGCTAATAATTCAACTAACATGTTACAGGAGTGCCTAGAAATCATTTTAGTGCATTCCCCTAAAAAGATAGAATAAAGAAGCAAAGCAGGAAAAGATCTCAGTGATTCTACATCCTGTGGAGAGGCAGTAAAAGTAGAGAAGAACCAAAAAAAGTCTTACAAAGACGAACATCAGAGTAACTGATACGAGAAAAAACAAGGTCTTTAACCTGATGGCTAACAGAAGCAATAATACAAATCAAGAATTTCAAAGAGCAAAATGAGCTGGCAAAGATGATAATGAATGTAGTTTTACACACTGGGTTTGAGACATGGATATCTAAGTAGAATCAACTGGAAATATAGGATGGTGTTCGTGAAAAAGATCTGGCCAAGAAAGAAATCTGGAAATGACCAATAAGATTATTTTAGGCAATAAACTAATTTCTGCCCAAGTAACATAACAAAGTCTAGCTTACAAAAATAATAAAATATTTCCTATCTGGTTGGAACATAAGTATTTCAAGTTAAACAATGTTTCTTACCTACTATTTTCCACAGCTTTCATAGCATATTCAACTTGAAAAACTCTTCCATCAGGAGAGAATGTGGAGGCTGACAGATCATACTAGGGGGACAAAAGAAAAACAGTAACCTTGTTGTTAACTGGGCTGCAAGCATGGCTCTCTGACAAGCATGAAACCCTGAGTTCAAACCCCAGAATAGCCAAAAAAACAAAAAAGTAATTTAAAAACCTTGTAGCAACGTATCTTTAGCAATAACAACCATACAATTTATTTTTTCTCCAAATGACTTAATATCAAGAATGTGTTATATCCCGACAGACACTGCTTTGAAGGGAAGCATGTCAGAGATCGACAGTGGCTACTGGAAAGTTACACACATTAGATTTCTGCAACTGAGAAGTAATGGATACAAGTCCTAGGAGAGGTCAGAACTTCTTTTACACAGAACATTAATTTTTGAAAAGATTAGTATGAGACTAGAGGTGTGGTTCAAGTGAGTGCACCTGAGTTCAAAAACCCCAGTATGCCACCGCCCCCCCCCCAAAAAAAAGAGAAGGTTAACACAGTATGGTGTGGTAGAAACATCACTGAAGTCAGAACATTTAAATTCATGGCTTGTGCCACTAACAAAATGAAGGACGTTGATCAAATCATTTAGCATGCATCAAGCATTTAGTGAGCATGTATTTTATGTGAGTCCCTACTTGGGAATACATGAAGGCCCTTCATTCATGAACCCCCTTATTTTCAAACTAGTAGTCACAAATCTAGGTGGAGATACAGCACTAAACCATATAGGCAAAGGGAATAAAAATAAAAATGAAGTTATAGAGAGAACTACCACAAACTGCTTCATCAGGGGAAGACTTTACTAAAGCAGAAACCTCAGTGCCAGGGAACTAGCCATTTAGGATGAGGAAGAGCCTTCCTGTCAATTGATGCAAAAAACAGAGCAGAAAAAGTCTAGCTCAGCCAAAGAACAGAAATAAGGTCACTGCGTCTTAAGCACTGTGAAGAAAAAGAGGACACTATGCCAGTTAGCTTGGTCTGCCAGGCTGGAGTAGGTAGTTTACATTTTAATCTAAACACAAAGAGTTTAAGAAGGAAAATGATATAATCTAATTCAAGTTTTAAAAAAAACATTGCTCTGGCGTCATGCGGAAAATGAACTGCAGAGTCAACAAGAGTGAATGCAAAGATCAGGTATTCCAAAGACACTGGTGGTGGCTTTGACTAGAAGAGAGAGAAGGGAGTATCTTTTGAGCAGAATTAAAAAACAACAAAAACATATGGGGCTGAAGATGTAGGTCATTGGAAGAATGCTTGCTAAGCATGCATGGGGCCCTGGGTTCCAGTCCCCACCACTGCGGGGTGGAGAGAAGGGAGACTTATTAATGTTTGGCTAAGTATATAAGTTAACAAGGAATTGAAGATGAATCGTAGATTTTTTTCACTTAAAGATGAAGCTGAGGAGGGGAAAACCCACCTTTCTAACTTGAACATGAAATGTCTATCAACAATCAAGAGGGGGCTTGGGGGCATGGCTCAAGAGGCAAGAAGCCTGCCTAGCAAAAGTTCAAATTCCAGTACCACAAAAAAAAAAAAAAAAAAGATGAGGTAATTTTTTAAAAAAGGAATGTGGGCATGGTGGTGCACTTCTATAATCCCAGTACTGGTAAGGCTGAAGCAGGAGGATCGCGAGTTCAAGGCTAGACTGGACTACATGAGGAGACACTGTATCAAACCACTTCCCTACAGTAATCAAGTGGAAATGGGGGTGTGGCTCAGTGGTAGAGCACTTGCCTGCATTTGTGAGGACCGGTTTCAATCCCCAGCACTGAAAAGGGGTGAGGGGAGAGAGCAATCAAATAGACAAGTCGCAAGCAAATAACGTACTGGGTTATATAAAAAAGCTTAAAAGGTTGGTGTAATAAAATATTCATTGAAGGACATATTAATGTAGATGCAAAGTCAGTTTGGTACAAGATGCATTAATGCGGCACTTATTTATCCTAAAAAAAAAAGTGACATAGCTTTAGCATCTCACAGCTGAACAGACTAAACCCAACGAAGGACAGCAGTAAGAAGTCCAACTCCAGAATCCTCAACAGTTATCAAAAAGTCAGAAGCAGGCACCTTGATAATCATTTACATGTTCGGCAGTATTGATGCCTTACCAGTGTTATTAAAGCTGGCTGGAACAAGGGGAAACCGGAAGGGCTCGTCAGATTTAGCTTCAGAGCCTTTTTCTTATTAGCTGTGTTGGACAGGGCTTCCCGGGAACCCTACCCGCAGAGTGGAGCAGGGGAGAGCTGAACCAAAGCGGGAACTGCCGCGCCACGACGGCAAGGCGGCGCACGAAAGCCCGGCCTGGGCTAGGAGCCGGGGTCCGGTGTGAAGGATTTGACCCTCCACACGCTATCTCCAGTTCCTCGAGCTCCCACTTTCGTTTTCCCTAAGCAGCTGCAGAGAGTGACTCAGCAATCCAAGGTGGTTCCAAACCTCACCATGGCTCTGCCAAGGCTGCCAGGCTAGGCTGGAAAGCTGGCAGGAACCACGGTCACCCGAGACGGGCCTAGAACACAGCGTTCAAGTGAAGGAGCGCGGGGCTCCACTAGGCGCACAGCGGCCCACCTGGCCCAAGGCAGTCCCAGCGCAGCCAGGGTCGGAGCTCCCCTTGCGGATGGTCAGAGGTCCCTTCCACGTTAATCCTTGAGCTATGCTATCACACCGAAAAATCGCAAACTCACCCCGGTGCCGATGGAGCTCATCTTGAAGTACACACGGCCTCTCGCCTCCTGCAGGCCTAAGATGCCTCCCTCACGCCGCAGCGCCGTTCACACCAGTAACAGGCCCGCCTATTGGCTGCACATTCAACCAATGGCTCTTCTCTCTGTGGCTCGTTCCGCCGGCGAGAAGAGGATTGTGGGTAAAGGAGGGGGGGTGAGAGTGAAGGGTGACGCGCATGGGCAGAAGCAATGGAGGCTAGGGAAGGGCGAACTTCTTTCTTCAGGTCCAGTTTTCTCAACCACTTTTGAGTCGTCGGGTTGAGAAGCTGCGCCATTCTTTATCTTTTAGCCGTCTCTTCTCGTTTCTTTATTCATTCTTGAAACAAAGAAGAGAGATGTTCTCATATAAGAGTAGAGAAAGCAGAGCGGAGAGATAATCCCTTTGCCCTTGATCTCCTGGTTCTGACCGGTAATTCGTGGCATCCTCACCCTCATCCTCAGGCACTGGAGAGGAAAGTTGCACTTTGAGGGTGTCACCTTCGAGCTCAACTTGGAATTTTACAGAAGCATTAGTGCCCGTTCTATGAATGTGAGGTTTGAGTAGAGTTAAAGATACACTCCCATGCCTCATGGAATTTGCATCCAGTGGGAGGAAACAGGCAACAAAGAATAAATAGGCAAAAGAGTTGCAGCTTGCCATGACAAAGGGTAAGAAGGATTAGGCAGGGCAGTGCAATGCACCCCTTGGCTTGTTAGAGAACTGTTAGGTCAGTGGAGCCTATCAGAGATTTAATTTAGTGGAGGAAAGTGATAAGAGAAATCAGAAAAGTGGCAGGGGACCGGTTTTTGTAAAGGTTGGATTATAATCCTACTTGGAAGTAAAAGGTTAGCAGCATTTTTTAATCCTAAATACTTAAGTGTGTGTGTGTGTGTGTGTGTGTTTTTAGATAACCACAGTACTGTTAGAAAAATCAGAAAATTAAATGTATCGTGGCCCACACCTGTAATCCCAACACTGGGAACCTGAGGCAGAAGGATCATGAGTTCGCAGGCCAGCCTGTGCTACTAGTGAGACACTGCCTCAAACAAAGGAAAACATTGATTATTGGTTTTCTAATGTGAGATCATCGGAGGTTTTTCATTGTTGTTTAATAATCTTTTTTTTTTTTTTTCAGTACTGGGATTTGACCTCAGGACCCCACCCTTGCTAGGCAAGAACTCTACCACTTGAGCCATTCTGCCAGCCCTCATCAGAAATTTTTTAAGAAGAAAAATGAGATTTGATTTAAATTATTAAATGACCTCTCTTTAGTTATCTGTACTAAAGAGAAGATAGAAGCAAGGATACTAGTTGGAACGCTAACAGTTTTGTAGAAATCAGTACTGGAGAATGGTCTGGGCTAGAGTAGCAGTGGAGATTAAAATGTGTGGATGCATGCACATAATGTCAGGCTTGCTGAAGAATTGGATGTAGAAAGTAAGGAAAAAAGAGGAATTTCAATTGCTTCTTCCTCCTAATGAAACGTTATAACTAATGGTTAGGTTTTAATCTTGAACAAGTGTGTAAGTAAAGGATTTTAATTCTTTAGGTAAGACTAGCCACTTACCTAACTCATTAGAACATTCAAGATGGACTGGCAGAGTGTGGCTCAAGCGGTAGAGTGCCTTCCTAACAAGCATGAGGTCCTGAATTCAAAGGCTAAATTCAAATTATGTCCTCCCCCCCCACCAGAGAAAAAGAAAAAGAAAATTCTAGTTGCAATTCTCTCATGAGGTTTCCTGAGCAAGATAGGCCAAAAAAGTGTTTAAAAATGCTAAAGGATATAAGGGTTCCTCTTGGAGGTAAACTACAAGTACCCAAACTTGTTTAGGTTTCTAGTTAAACTTAAATAACTTTACTACTTGTGCATGGTAAACAGTGTTTGAGTGCCTAGCACACTTTGTTCATTAAGAAAGGAATTTCGGGGCTCTTTCTGAATGAACTGTCAGATGAATGATCTTTGAAGCTAGATTGTTGATTTATCTTGTGCCTTGGGTTCTTGATGATTTGCAACTTTGATTTCAAGACTTAAATAGGTAAGGATTTGTTTGTTTTAACCTTGTTACTCCAAATTACTTCTTAAAGTAGCATATACAAAATTGATATGGAATTCACACATCTGTCTTACAGGGTAATAAGAATATCAGAGTCTGTTTTAAGTCTGAGTAAGTAAAGTCAAGAGGATTCTGATTCATATAACAAAGAGACCTTATTTTATGTTAACTGTCTTAACAACTGAAAAAGGATGTTCAAGGTGTTTATCATCTTGCTCAAACCACAGAAGCTGTGAAGAAAGGATTAATCCCTTTCAATCTAAAGGTAAAGAATGTTAATTCTAAGCAGAAAAGAGGGACCTGATTTTGATCAAATTATGACAAGCTGAGATAATGGAATAATCTCCTACAGAAATTATATATATATATACACCTGTACACATAAAATTCTTCTATTAGAATATCTAACAGTGTTTTGCTTAATCAATATAATTTTAGTAAGTCATAATGGCTTTAATAATTATGGCTAAATAACATTAAATAATTATTAATTACCATTAAATAATTATGTAGTGATATTGTATTTAATATCATTGTTTTATAATCATTGTTATAAATTTTTTAAATGTAAAAAAATCAAATTTACTTCCCTGTTCGATTCTGCAGTTATGAAATACTCATAGTTTGCAACTAAAAGAAAGCAAATTATCAGTAATCATAATATTCTAGAATTTTAAATACTCCAAATCCTGTGTTTACTTTGATTAATCTAGATTTTATATGACATGTGATTATTTTTTAATTGAATGCCTCAAGAAAATTGGTGACCAGTGGGTTTAGCTTCTAAATACTGAGTTTTAGAGATAATATTCTCAGAATTCTTTGTTATTCCCAGGCTTACAATTCAGACTTTAATCTGCAATTCTGAGCAGTAGGGTAACAACCCCCTCCCCCCCAGGCGCTCACACTCCCCATCACAGAAATGCGGGCAATTCCTTGTCTAGAGTTCGCTAATATCTCATTTGTTAGACAGTTACCCGAAAGGGACTTTATTTTAACTGAATCAGAATCTTCCTCGATTAACTTTACTTGCTCAGGCCATGAGGAAAATAGTCAAACTCCACTGTTCGTCAATGAAAATAATGTTCCTTCATGCGGATCCCAAATGTGTAGGAACTCAATATCCCATTTGATAGAAGGTGGATACATTTTGATACGTGTTTGTGTAAAGGAGGTAGACTATCGGACAGTAAATATTTTTAAACATTTCAGAAACAGAATTCAATGATTATAATGACACTTTTTTTCCAGTGGTCTTCGGATACCCACTAAGTAACAATTCCTTTCTTTTTTTTTTTTTTTTGCGTCATTGAGGGGTTGAACTCGCCCTCGCGCTCAAAATAACAATTCTTAATTCTTAAATTTATGGACAATTAAATGTTTTAGAACGTCCTTAGAAATAATTCTGAACGAGCAATTTAATGGTTATATTATATAGACAGTTCTTTAGAAAAAAGGAATATAGTCGAAGAGAAACCAAATGTAGCGCGCACTTCTCAAAGGACAGAAAAGGAGAAGTATATTTCAGCTGCCCGGCTAGCTCAGTCGGTAGAGCATGGGACTCTTAATCCCAGGGTCGTGGGTTCGAGCCCCACGTTGGGCGGGTTTTCTTTTGATACAAAGAACTCAATGTTCTTCAACTATTTTACTGTTTCTGCGAAATATTTTAATTAAGGCGAATTCTCCGACCGAGCTAACTTAAATAGTTTCAATATTAAACAGCTCTCTGAAACAAGTTCATTTTGCAAACGAAATGGCTCGAAAACTGCGCTTGCGCACTTCTAAGAGCCGGTGCCGTGCCCAACTTCCGCTTTAAAGCAAGAGAAAAGTTAAAGGCAAAGCTTTTAAGACTGCTTTTCTTGTTACTCTGCATATTTGCCTCCTTGTTGGTAACGGACAATTTTTTTTTTATCTTGACAAAATTAGGGGCCCCGATATTGGTTGCTTTTCTAAAATTTAAGAGCTCTGACGTTAAAGCACTTGGAGGCGCCAGAGGATACCGACCCTCCCCCACTCTCTTTTCTTCCTCAATATAGGGCTTATCCTGGGGGAGCGGAGGGGGAGGTGTTTCCCGGAGAGATAGACAGTAAGAAATATTTTTCCTGTGGTCAGATTTACGCAACTAGTGCATGCATTGAGTTTTCTTACCTTGTTCTTGGGATCATACTTGGATATGATCCCAATTAGGTGATAGGTATTAGTAATTTTATATGGTAGTAAAGGCTTTCTGACCCACGCACCAAAGAACAGAGAAGTGAAGATTTAGGATGGGCAATTAGATCTTTGAGGGGCGCAGGATTTCCACCTTCTTCCTTCCTCACTGAGAACTTTGATGTAATCAGAAAGCACAGCTAGGCACGCTCCAGGATCCAACCGACTCAATGCAGGGCAGCCTACCCTCTGTGTGCCATCCCTCGGCTCTATTAAACGAATCCATATTTCTCTTTTTGACTGTTCCCTTCAACTATAAAGATGCTGTTATTTATTTAAGACAGAAACCCTGGCCCAGTTTTCCTACAGGCTACCCTTCTATCCTCTGTTTTCTTTGGAGCAAAAGTCAGCCCCAGTTGTCTGCACACTAGTCCTCTCCTCCCATCTTCTAATCCTGACAATGCCCGATCCAAGACTAAACAACACACCTGTAGTAAAACAAGTTTGGTGCATTACTCATTAGAAGAAGGGAGAACCATGGGGTGTCTGGAATAAAATGGCGGATATTTGAAAAGAACCTAAGACAGGATTCGGGTTTTGGTTGGGTCATTTGGGGAGGGTCTAAGGAAGCGGGGGCTTGTTCTGGATTGGATACTTAGCCAAGGCAATTCTGTGACTTCATCCATATGGAGG